TTCACTGTTCGAATCGAGCCGAACTACGCGGGTCGCCATTTTGTTTTGCCCGGAAGTTCTCGCAAGATCTACTCCTCCCCTATCTCTCTCTCTGTCTCTTTCTGAATACTGTCTATCGGTGTGGACGATCAAATTGACCAAAACAAAGTTAAAAAATGATGTTAAAACACAAAAGTAAATTAATTTGGTTGTCTACAAAGATGCTACAGCTATTTAACTTTTCGAATCGAGCCGAACTACGCGGGTCGCCATTTTGTTTTGACCGGAAGTTCTCGCGCTACTCCTCTCTCTCTCTGTCTTTCTCTCTCTCCACTGCCCACAGACAAAATTGTACGCTTTTAGTAGGCTAGGCTACAGTTGTAATGGAACGTTTGTTCACGGCACAGAATTCTACAATGTTTCTGTTATCGCAGTGTAGAATTCTGTGGTTTAGGGTGAACGCAAAATTTGTTGGCCTAGATCTAGGCTATAACGGTGAACGCGCACCGGGTGAGAATAGCCAAAAGACTCGCCTGCACTATTCTCATCCCGGGTGAGAATAGAGGTGGCCTTTGGTGTTTGTCATTTTTGTCTTTGTTGTTTTGTCATCAGAAGTGGCTATTCTCACCCGGGGTGAGAATAGAAATACGATCGACTTCTCACCCCAGGTGAGACTTGCCACCATGGGCTATTCTCACCCGGTGTGAAACAAGACCTGTTTTTCCTAATTTCGGAATACTTTCTATCGATGTGGATGATCAAATGGATAAAGGCAAAGAAAAGATTACGTTTATAGTAGCACAAAAGTAAGCTAATTTTATCGACTACAAAGATGCCAGGGTTGGTGATTTTTATTTTTTTTTCATAAAAATCAAATCATGATTTTTAAAATTTAAATCAGATTTTTTTTATTTAAAAAAAAATGTCGACACAGTTTGGGATTTTTGGTTGCTAAAAGTATGTTTTTTTAGTGCAAAATGCATTGTCTTTATTTTAACTAATGATTAAATGAAGCAACCTCAAAAGAAAGCCTTATTCTGCTATATCAGTGAATTATGGCTACAGACAAAAAATGAAGAAAATGTCAGTCTAAAAGGAAGGGGTGGGGGGGTAATTATGGCATAGATAAACTTGCATTTTATTACAGTGTGTGTGTGTGCGCGCGCTTGTGTTTGTCTAAAAAGAAAAAGAAAATGTTAATTTCAATAATGAAAAAAAAGTAAATTGAATGCTGTATTATTTTACAGTGACAGGGGGGAAAGCAGACTTTTAAGCATGATTTTATTAGTCTACTAAACCTTATATACTAACTGTTTTATAAAACCAAGGAAAGGAATTCTGAATATTTAAAGATGTAAAAACAGAATACATTTTTTTAAAGTGATTTAAATCACTGAGTTTTATTTTTAAAATCAAGTTGATTAAATTTTTTTTTAAATCAACTGATTTAAATCGACCTCATTTAAATCAGCCCAACCCTGATTTCAATTATGAAAAAAAATCAATTGAATACTGTATTATTTTACAGTGACAGGGGGGAAAGCAGACTTTTAAGCATGATTTTTTATTAGTCTACTAAACCTTATATACTAACTGTTTTATAAAACCAAGGAAAGGAATTCTGAATATTTAAAGATGTAAAAACAGAATACATTTTTTAAAAGTGATTTAAATCACTGAGTTTTATTTTTAAAATCAAGTTGATTAAATTTTTTTTTAAATCAACTGATTTAAATCGACCTCATTTAAATCAGCCCAACCCTGATTTCAATTATGAAAAAAAATCAATTGAATACTGTATTATTTTACAGTGACAGGGGGGAAAGCAGACTTTTAAGCATGATTATATTAGTCTACTAAACCTTGTTTAATAAAACCAAGGAAAGGAATTCTGAATGTTCAAATATGTAAAAACTGAATACATTTGTTAAAAAGTGATTTAAATCACTGATTTTTATTTTAAAAATCAAGTTGATTGAAATATTAAAAAAATCAACTGATTTAAATCAACCCAGCTCTGATTTCAATTATGGAAAAAAAAGTAAATTGAATACTGTATTTTACAGTGAAAGGTGGGAAAGCAGACTTTTAAACATGATTATATTAGTCTACTTAACCTAGTCTACTTAACCTATCTGTTTTATGAAACCAAGGAAGGGAATTCTGAATGTTGAAATATGTAAAAACTGAATAAAAATAAATTTTTTAAAAAGTGATTTAAATCACTGATTTTTATTAAAAATTTAATCAAGTTGATTTAAATTTAAAAAATCAACTGATTTAAATCAACCCAACCCTGAAAGATGCTATGGCTATTTCACTTTTCGAATCGAGCCGAACTATAA